CAATAAACCACTGCACGTCGTCCCACGCCGCTTACAACGAATGCTCATTCGGCTCCAGAAGTACGACCTGGACATCGTCTACCAACCGGGGTCGAGGATGTACATTGCAGACACACTGTCTAGGGCATATCTTTCCGATGTGACCGCAACGCAAGAAGACCAAGACATTGTCCATGTCACTCAGCTATTGGCCGTCACAGAGGAGCGTTTCCAGCAACTACTACGCCACACGGAAGCAGACGAGCTGTGTAATCGGCTCAAGGAAACGATACTGAAAGGGTGGCCCGATAGTAAAAACAAGCTGCCAAAGGAGTTGACTCCCTTCTTTAACTTTCGGGATGAACTTGTCACACAGGATGGGCTAATCTTCAAAGGCAACCGTATACTCGTTCCAAAGGCAATGCAACGACCCATGCTGGAGCTGATACACGGAAGTCATTCAGGAGTCAATGCTTGCGTGGCGAGAGCTCGAGAGCTAATGTTTTGGCCTGGAATGACTAGTCAGATACGGGATCACGTTTCAAACTGCTTAGCCTGTCGAGCACATGATGTCCGCCAGCCGAAGGAGCCTATGATGCTTCGTGAGGTCCCGGAAAGGCCGTGGCAGAAAGTCGCCCTAGACATCTTTGCACATGACGGAAGGAATTACCTGATCGCTGTCGATTACTTTAGCGACTATTTCGAGATTGATGCTCTCACGTCTACTAGCACACAGGCCGTGATAAACAAGCTACGATCGCAGTTTGCGCGACATGGGATACCGGAAGAGGTAGTGTCCGACAATGGCCCCCAATTCAACAGCGCCGAATTTCGGAGTTTCAGCGAAAAGTGGGATTTCCTTCATCGTTTAACCAGCCCTTACCACAGTCAGTCAAATGGAAAAGCTGAGTCAGCCGTGAAGGAAGCAAAGAAGTTACTCACCAAAGCCAAGGAGACCAAAGAAGATCCTTACATCATGTTGTTAGAACGAAGGAACATGCCATCTGCCGAAATTGGATGCAGTCCAGCGCAACGTCTGTTTGGCCGTAGGACAAGAACCCTGTTGCCGATCGCCAATACTCTGCTGCAGCCTGAAATACCATCGCAGAGCTTGATGTATGAGCGCTTGCGTGAGCGCATGCTTCGACAAAAGAAATATTACGATCGCGGAACGAAGCAGCTTCCACGCCTGTTGCCCGGAGACGAGGTCTGGGTCGCGCCGACACCGGGAGCTAACGGGTCTTGGAGGAGAGGGCGAGTAGAAGGTCTCAAAGGCGAACGAAGCTACGACGTAAGAGTTGGGGATAGTCTATTTCGACGCAACCGGGTGCAGTTAAGGAGACAACGTGGTGAACAAGCACGGCATCGTGCGAAGCAGCCAACGCAGCCGGACATTTCGGTGGATACAGCAGCACACGACCACAAGACTACACGCAGTGGAAGGCGATACAGCGCTTACGCAATCGGACTACAAAAAAACGAAAAAAGGAAGGATGTGATGGTAAGACACTACATTTAGATGCCCGTTGCATAGCGATCGGTCGAGCTTAACGATTTTGGGCCAACAGTCTGGAAGCGGGTCGATCGCTGCAGCGGCGAACTGAAGGTTAGCATGCAATCGATTTGGATCGACATTGAACGAAACTCGAACGCTGGCTGAGAATGTAATAGAAAGGAGATTTGTTCTGCGAGTGATTCTAATTGACTCGAGATATAAAATGATTTTTGCGTTCTATGAATAATGAATTTCTGATCGAGGCCCAGACTTTGACTTTTGATGCACGGAGGGCCACTTTACACCATGGAGCGTTTCAACGATTATGCTTTCGGAAGAAAGACAACGTTGTATACCGACCACAAGCCGCTTGTGTCAATAGCCAGGAAATCGCTGCACGTCATTTTTCGTCGCATAGAGCGTATGCTCATCCGGCTTCAAAGGTACGTGGGTAATGTGTATATGCGTGGGGCACAGATGTTCATCGCGGATACACTGTCAAAAGCTCATCTGCCGGTACTCAAGCATCATCCGGGAGAGATCGAAGCAGTAAACTTAGTACAGCACCTGCCAGTGACAGAAGATCGCCTAAAGGAAATAAGGCGCCACACAGAGGAAGATGCAACGCTTTCAGCTTTGCAAGACGTTATTCTAAATTGGTGACCGGAGACAAAGAAGCAGTTGCTGTGGGAACTAACTAATCTTACTTTAATTTTCGGGATGAACTCTCTGTCTACGATGGTTTGCTGTTCAAAGGAAGCCGTATTGTGGCCCCGTCCTCGCTCCGAGACACGGAATGCTGAAATACGTTCGTCGCGATCATCTGGGTGCCAACTATACCATTAACCGAGCAAGAGTATTGATCTTTTGGTCAGGAATGACGTGTCAACTCAAAGATCATGTATCGAATTGTGAGGCATGCCGTTTACACGAAACCCGGCAGACGTGGGAACCAATGATGCTGCATGATATCTGATCGACCGTCGCAGAAGGTGGCGGTGGATTTATTCAGTGATAACAGGAAAAGATTACTTACTCACGGTGGATTACTATAGTGATTATTTTGAAATCGATTTACTCGCTACTACGACCACAGAGGTAGTAATCAAAAAGCTCAGATGTCAGTGTGATCGGCACGGTATACCGGTGGAGTTGGTCTCCGAAAACGTTCTCCAGTTTACCAGAGCTACTTTCCACGCCTTTGCAACCAAGTGGGAATTCGTGTACTAGTAAACCAGCCCATATCACAGTCAATCGAATGGAAAGGCGCAGTCGGCACTGATGCAGGCCAAGCGACTATTATCAAAGGCTAGGTCAATTGGCAATGTCCCGTTCCTCATGCTACTGAGACATCGTAACACTCCTACAACGGATAACGAGTTGAGCCCATTGCAGTGCCTGTACAGTCGAAGGACTAGAACTCCGATACTGGCATCTGCCACACTTTTGCGCTCAGTTTCGCCACAGCATGTGCGATTGCAAAACAATCTGAGACGACGAATGACCACCCAGAGACGGTACTACAATCGCGGTGCACGAATACTACCTGGGCTAACAGTAGAGGAGAAAGTATGGGTTCAATCAGCATCCGATGGCCAAGCACGGAGGAAGAAGCGTGTGTTGACTACGAGGGTCAGTGCCAAGCCATAAGTAATAAACGTCCAGGAGAAATCGAGTGCACTTGTGATGACAACGGCGACAGCAATGTGGATTGGGAGTGCAGTGGCAAATGGCGTGGGGCAAGGAGACCACCGCCGCAGATACAGCGAAGACGACGCGGAGTGGCAAGGTGTACGGGGTGGATGACAATACGGAGACGCAAGCACACGAAAAAAGGGAGAATGTGATGGTAGTATTAGATCAAAGCCGGACAGCCAAGAGGAGGCGGACGTGATGGATTCGATTAATGGACTCAGATTGGCCGATATTCGTGTGAGTGATTCACCGTTTGTTTAACTGAATCCAAGGAGGAACCTCATCGACTCAGAATGGTCGTTAGTTATGGACTTGAACCTGTAATTTATATCGAGGATTTCGGTTTGCTGTAATTTTCGCTGATCTGTCTTTGCGGAATACACGCTTGTCCATGAAGAACTGAGTTCTGCGACACTATCTTCCGGACTGACATCTCTACGCGTGTTCACACGTGCGGTTGTTTAAATATATCGGTTTTTCTGCGAATCACTCGCGCGTGGTACAAATAACTATCTGTTCATCTATACGCAGTGGACCTTTTACTCATGTCGTTTTTTGGATGTTATCCAACAAGGACTGGGTGAGAAAAACACCTGAGATCGATGATTGACATTTCGTCCCCCTTCTACTTCATGTTTTAGCGGTAGCATGGCCTTTTCAATGGAACATGACTTTTTATATGCAGCGGCTGTATCAGTTCTCACTTAGGTTTAAGATATTTTCTATTTACACTAATTACAAGGTCACTAAGCTTTTGTTGTGCCTTCCGCTGACTCTGTGGACAACCTGCTCCAGTTGCGCAAGCTGACCGACAGGCCTCCCAGATCAGAAGACAAAAGTCTCAGACGAATAGTGTATGGAACACACGGCGCGCAGTATATCTGAGCAAATACTTGGGCCAACTAAATGGAATTTCCTCGAGTTCAGTGACCACTAGATGCTCGCTAATGCACCTGTTGGTTGCCGAAATTATGCGCTCACTGCCAGGCTTCAAGGTAGGTCATCCTCTTGGAAAGGTGAAATGTCATCATTGGTCAGCTCCCATTTGTTGATCAATAAGCTTCGGGCTGCGTCAGGGTCAAATTGTTCCGGGCGGTTAGCGAAGGCGGATATGGTCAGGTTCTCTTAACAGGCTGTCCTTCGGCGATTTTTGTAAGTGAACTTTAAGTTACTCCGCATATTGTGAGGTTATCAGAAGGTGCTTTGTAATCTATGGAATCTCCGTCCGGGTCGATAAACTGCGTTTCCACACCGTATCGTCAATAGGATGCAGATTCGAGGCCGTTCATTCGACTGACACTTGTACTCTTAATGCCATTTTTCCAATTTTAACCTTTTTTAGTTATTTTTATTGGTTAAAAAAATCCCCTGTGGGTATTGTAAATGCCGAAAATGTGTCCAGTCGAGCACATAAAGCTTATATTGGTTGGATCTGATTTATTACGGGAATCCATTAGCTGCCATAAATTCGTCGGCTTTTATTCCTACGGTGGTGCTCAATATTCACTATTTAAATGGCATGTTTCAGCTACCCGTTCTGTCACTGTGCACCCATATCCTCCCACGCATCTCGAAGAGCTCGGTTACTCTATCTCTGAACCGCCATTTTTCCAACGTTTTTCGTTCAACCCAATTTTCGATTTTGTTTTGTTTTATGCAAATCTTCACCGTCTAACATCTGACTGCATCTCACACAGCTCACGGTGTTTAGTTCATTGCCTTCATTAGTACGTGTTACACGTGTTGTTACTTCCTTTGTTTCTCTGTTCGGCTATTCTCTCGTCTGTTGCTTATCTGTGTCCGCATTACTTATGCTTCCTGCCTTACTCAGTGTCGCGATTCACCTGCTGTTGCTTGCCAACCGGTTGTCAGCGAGCCAGCATCCCTTCTGACTTCGGAGCAACTTGAACTAACCCGAAATCTTCCAGCTACCGCTGTTTCCACAACTTCTTGTCTGACCAGTCATCGAGCGGTGAATGCGCTGCACACTCTGGATTCTTCACCTCGCTTGCAATCTCGTCAAGTGACAACAGCGAGCATATTGCTTACTCGGCACACAAACGTCCAACCTCCGGCTGTCATTCAATCTGCCGTCCTCTCCTCACATCCCTTGAGTGCTTCGGTAGGTGCCCCTCCCCTCCACGATTTTGCACCCCCCTCCCCCCTGTAATTTCACTCCAGTTGTCTGATGAATCAGATTTCTGTTTCGACTCCCCAGATAACTACGAATCGCTCATGGGGAATCGAGCAGAGTCGCCACCTGTTATGGTATGGTTTGCAACTTAGCAGGGCAAGGTAACGTTCGATCTACTGGATTCTCTCCGACCCAGTGACCGGACGCTGTCAGCTTCTAGCTTCCTGCCCACAATACGGCGATTTTTACGGAGCATGTTGCAAATATGCATGATACTGGAAAATGAGTACTGCGCTATATCACTGCAGCCGCCGCTTCTTCCCTTTGGCGCGGTAATCTTATCAACTGACTCGAAAGCGGAGGGTCACGGTGTCGAATTGCCCTCCGAGAATCATGAGCAGTGTGTGTGCGGCGCTCGCAAATCGTCATTAACAAGAGTCGTGATTATATATGGAGTACATACAACATTTCGTTGGTGTCCTTTCACTGGCTTGCCCTTGTTAACTGGCCTGTGGCGTCAGCTACATTCCACTGGTTCGTGCTCGTTCTACATACGGGCCGCTCCACACTTACCGAGTTCGTGGTTGCACTGGGACTCACTGTTGCCATCACGGATGGGCTACACGGTGGCCTCCGCCCATTAAGTCGCTGATCCCACGATTGGCTATTTGCCACAACTGAGTGTGTTGTTAATTTGCATTCAGCCGTATGCCATCTACTCGCCGTACCACCGATCAATTCGCTTTCCGAAGACTTGTGGTTTCTCCATTGCGCTGGGCCGGGTGCATTCCGAATGAGCAGTTCTCATGAGTAGCGTCTGATTTGTCATTCGTCTATTCGGTTGATGCTTCCTCGGTTGACCATCCGCCACAACTGAGTGTGTTGCTAATATGGACTCAAGCGTAAGCCACCGTACGGTCTACCAATCCGCTTTTCCACCTTCCGAAGGCGTACTGGGTTGGACCAGTTGGACTGCTGGACTCCCATCTGATTGGCCCCCGGTCCATCGGTACCGCATGGATTCCATTCGCCCCCAGTCTCAGCCAACCTCACTCGCGTGTTCCAACGCTCCGGGGCACAGATGGAATACGCGCTACTGACGAGTCTCCAGTGGGCTAGACGAGCGTCCGGCGCTTTCCTGGAGCGCCGTAGCTATCTGATTGAGTATATCTATAGTGAATCTCATCAGAATATTCTAACTACATCCGATCCTTCTACCAATCACAGAGTTCTCCTTCAGACATCATCTTAATATTTAAAAAACGATCTGATACAGATTTCGTGACGCGTGCGCGCTGGTAGTGTTCTAGTTATTAGATAGATACGACAGGATTTAAGCATTTGACGGGAGGGATAGAACTTGCAACCTTGGAACATACCTCGTTTAGGATACACCAGGCACTGCCTCAGGTTGATGACAATGCATACTTTACCGACACCTGGCGTGTATGCGATGGATGACTTACAGACCCACTTGATTTGTTTTGGTAAACACGGCTGCTGTGCACACAAAGGGCGATGGGTGTCAAACGATGCAGCACTTGCAAAGCTCCACGCACACACTATGCATCCAGCGCAAAACCGCCCATGAGACATCCTGATGGTGGCCACGATCGTTTCATTGCCGGGACATACTTCTTCAACGCGCAGGTGCGTCCATGTGACAGTGCTCTTGAGCTAGGATAATCTGAGAGCAACGTACACCACCACTGGGTAACGCGCGCACGACCGGTCAAGGAGTGTTGGGCGCGGCGGCCGCTTGGCCTTAGCTTCCCATTCAGTGATAGCATGACTCATCAAGCCTTGCACTTTCACTGAGGTTTCCTGATTTCATCAAGGACTGGCACTCCTCCGGAGGCAGTAATCAATGCTGCGACACCGGACTGGCTGGTGCATTTCACGGTTGTCAAACAACTGCATGCAGGAACGAGGGCTCTAGTCCGAGAAGTGAAGGTTACAAGCTGACCTTCTAACCCACTCACAACCTATCAGATGACATACATAGGCTATCGTGTCAATGCTAAAGATGGTTTCTATCGTATTTCTTAGTCTGACCTGCTCAAAATATTTTCGGTGTTACAGTTATCGCCGATCGTCTCCAGATTCACTGGTGAATAACACACGTTACTGTTTCTGTCAAACACTTGGGTAAACAGCGTGACCCAATCTAGGGGGGAAATACGATGGTCATGGATAGGCATTTCCAAATTATTTCGATGCATTAAAACTTATGCACTATCCAGTACAGAGCTATGTTAATGTAACAGGAGGTGGTAATCTTATCGGCCAAACTCCTCACTTCCATTATCGGCTCCAAGGGCATAGCGATTTTATGTCTCTTAGCGAGGTCACACAGACTAGATATTTTGAGAATCTACTTCTTTCGTATGGTCCGTTGACCATAGAACCATTGCTTTCTGTTGCAATGCTGATGTATCTCGTGTTCTATTTCTTTTCATCGATATTTTGCCACTTTAGGTATCCTCCATAATGACCATAGCAAATTCCATGGTTAACCACACCCTCAACTTCCCATTTAAAATGGAATTGTCTTCCGCTGTGGCTTAGCAAATCTTTATTCCACTCCCCCCCCCCCAATTCCCCCTAAAGGCCCCTTTTTACGCGTATGCTTTGGGCAGCAGCTGGTGAACTGAACTACCTAGCAGAAGTCAGATCCGGCTAGTGGGTCGGGTGTCAATTCATGGATGATGTACATCTGGCGACAGGCATTAGACTGGTCTATCGACTGTGATGCCCCGGCTTAATTACACACGCCATTTCACTCTGTTTGGCTTTAGCAATAATTCCTATCATGGAGCGACCGTGGCACCATCAGAATCCAGTTGCCAATGCGAAAGATCTTTTATTCCCCCCTACCACCGGTGCCTTCGTAGTTTGGCTCACATCTGGTGGGAACACCGCGTGAGCAACGAGCGTATTCGACGTTTTGCTTACGGCACAGGAAAAGGAAATGAATCGCTCGGCACCAGGCTCCGATGGCTGGGCTACGTGTTACGCATGCCAGCCCACCGAATCTCGCGACTTACTTTGTTCGCTCGTCAAGGGTGAGGATGGAAGTAGAGGAGGGGTGGCCAAACCATGAGTTGGTCGAGAGGAATGCCAGGCCCTCACTTCGGAGCTGGCCTCGGTTGGTGCGTCTCGGCTCTCTGGTCGGGATCCGAAAGACGATTAACACGTTTGACTGGATATACTTGTTGATATGGCTAGTAGCTGGCCACAATGGCGTTCGTTCTGTGAATTTATTTATCTCTCCCCATCCCTCTTGGCTTCACCCTCCAACCACGGTCTCATTTCTTAGCATACTATAATTTTGCGTTGCTGCATAGCGGCCGGCTGGTAGCTCTCTGAAGCGACGCCCATCCGTTGTTAGTAGCTCAGCTGGCATACATCTGTTGCATTTTCCTTTTCTTTTATGTATTGCGGCACAGTAGCTGAGGTGTTTTCCACCTCTAGCTAACGTATATAATGCTGATGACTCCCTTGAAAGCTCCTTTACTTGAACTTCTGTCTGAGCTTGAGCACGTGTTATAGTTGCCTATGCAGTAGTTTCTTTCGATGTATGAACAGCTGATTACAGGGATGTATGTGTATTTAACCAACCATTTTTCCGTTGCATTGAAAGCCGCTCCAGGGATCTCTGAACTCTCGAGCTTCGTCACGGTCGGACGAACTATGTGTCTCTACTTCCTACAACAACTGTCAGCCATTTCCTGTTCCCTTTCGATCACATTCACCATCTTCATTGGAGACCGGCGCTGAAGCTTCAATCCTAATAGATCCTAGTCCTGGTGTTGATGCTGTGTCGGACAACACGAAGAGCTCGCAGCCTGCGCCGAAGGAGCTGGTCGAGGAACTAGTTCGCTTGCGTCATCAACTGCAAGTTTCACGTGAAGATGCCGCTTGGGCTGCAAATCGACTTAGTCAACAAGAGGCGGAATTGTCTCATCTTCGCCAACTAGTCGGTTGTTTGCGTGGTCAGCCTCAGGTCAACTGCAAGCTTGTCGATTCCGTTCGTTCTCTTCCTCTTGGCATCAGCCGCTCTCCCGCTAACGGTCACCTCCTACGCGCAACCACGTCTTCTACAAACACTGCCCCATCAATATCTCTCAGACGTGCTCCAAATACTTTTGTTGAACTGGATGACGCCATGGCAAGGTAGTTTTGGCTCGTTTCCTTCTCCATTTTTACCATTTTGCCTCTAAACTTCATTTCAATCTTCTGGTTAAATGTCGTTCTCTGTTATGATACCGAGGCATGTGTGTCTTTAAATGCTTCCGAATATTAGCGAAAATGGTTATTGCACAGGGTTGGTGCGTGCTCAACACTGTCCTTTTTTCAGGTTGAATGAAAGGAACGAATAACGCCATCATTTTTTCTTGCCATCCGATCCGACTCAACGATGTCCGCTTACTACGTGGGCCTACGTGGACCCACACTGCCCGATGTCCACTTTCCGTCGTTCCGTATCAATTTCCGCTTCTTCTTTTTCGCCTGTGCGGGTTCGCCTTTCATCTTCCAGACCGCTGTGGAGTGGTGGTTTAATCAATCGAATTTGTTTATTTCTATTCCTACTACTAACTAATAGTGGATAGCATATATTATAAACGTTTCTGGTGTATTGTACCACAGTACATTTCTACGAAGTCGTGTTGCCAGTAGCTTGGTGCCTCATGCTGAGGTTGATGTTGCAGTTGGGCTATACCGATTTACACTTGAACTAGATTTTCTTAACTTTTATAAAAAAATTATTCCACTTTATTTACTTTGCTCAGTTCCCTTATTCTGCTGCACATTCTGTGTCAATTTTGCGTGATTATTTCCCCTCACATTCTGTTTATTGCTATCTTCGGTGCGCCTGCACTTCATGTGAACGTTGACAAGGTGCTTACCTGTTTAACACCCTCCACATCGATTACTGGCTCCAGGAGACTGTGAATCGTCGCTGGGGTGAGGGGTGCACGGTCCTCGTGGCCGTGCTAGGCTCAAAGAGTGGTTCCATCCAGTGTGGAGCGGAGTGCCCTCCAGCCACCGCCTTGTCTACGTCTGCTATGCGTGCTTCCCAATTTAGATGAACAGGAATGCTACAGTTGTGCATGTTGAATGGGTGTGGACTCCGTTGATAAAACGTGGCTCTCATCCACATGCCTCCTGGTCTTATTCTTTCTGGTTTACACTGGATATAGGGTGTGTGAATTGAGCTGTGAGTGGTGCAGCGCAAGCCACCCATGGTCCCTCTGTATGCACAGGCGTCTTGTGGCTGTCCCCGTGGAGGCCGCAGTGATGAGCAAATCCAAAACCGGATGCCGCCAAGCATGATGGTAGCTTGGGTTGTCTACAATCCAGCATGATAGCTTCCATAGTCACTATTCGTGATGGCTTATATTATCCGGTGATCATGCTCCCTGTTACGCCCGATTGAAAGCGGAAGCAATTACGGAGTAGTGGAAGTATATCTCAAGACCAATTTGTCATGCGTGCATACAATCGTTTAGTGGGTACACAGACAGCAGTATGCACTTGGTTCCAGGTAGGCGTCTTGATTAGATAGCTTGGGCCAATAAGCGCAGTGAAGGAACGAATCACACACGCGTAATGGTGCACATACAAAAATATACCTACGCACCCATGCGCTACTCGCAGTCGGCTGAAGTAACACATATGACCCAACACTCACATGTGCTTTTATTAATGTGATCTAGCATTTTGCGGGTGCCAGCTTGGGTATTTCTTCAACCACAATAACTCACTCACCATTCCTTTCTTTTGCATATTACGACTCCTTCTGTTTCTCATCAACACGGTACCAAAGAGTCTTATTCGTCCTCCGATCCCCTAACCCTCGTCTCCCACAGGTGTTTTCAATTCTTACTCCCCTATCGGACCAATCAAATTGCTACGCTTACTCTTAACACGCTTTCTATTAAAGCAAATACGAGTTGCATTTCAGAGACGCATCCAATATGCTAGAGCCGTAACGCATCATTAACTGTCCATTTCTGAGTGACAATGGACGTCTTATTTGCATTTGTGTGATGGTCGATTTAATTTATGCTTTTATTGAAACTACGCGCCCCACGCCTTAATGTAACTGCATCATGCATACCTGCTTATGTAAAAGGTACGGCTACTAAATTTATCAAGTGGAGGCAGCATGATTACTCTGTGCATCCGTTTATCTCACTATGGTCTCCATTGGCCTTGATGATGGGCTCACGCGTTCAGTTTGGTAGCCCAACGATAGCGACGGCACCGAGTGGTGATTCCATCGCAACTGAACCAGAAGCGATTGTATTGGTTTGCCACGCGTTGCGATTGTGCAGCATAAAAATCCACAGGGACAAAATCGCTTCATTGAATCGCGCAGTGACAATTCGGAGCATTAATGGGAAGGTTCTGTATGAATTAAACTGCGTTTCCGTCATCGCTTTTACAAGCAAACTGTCCTAATTGACTGAGAATTAGGTAATGTGATTAATGAGAGCATACAAGAGCGAGTGCAATTCCCGTTCCTCTGATCAGTTACCTCAGTGAGCGCAGCACATTAAATCAAGCAACACTGGAAATGAATCAAACTTTACTTGAACTTACTTCACTGTAACCACCGAGGAATAAAACGTACGAACTTGAGATTAGGTCAGTTCGTGATATTAGTCAGATGCGCTGTCGATGTCGGTATGTGATACAATAGAACAACTTATGATTTACATTGAAACACTCACAAATTATCAGTCGGTTACTTTTTCTTTCACAGTTAAGACAACGATGGTGAACAGTAGATAAATCAAACTCACGAAGTCTGCTACTTTATTGTTTATCCTACGCAGATAGGGTCTTCAATGACATGTGTTAGCTTCCCAGGCATCGTGGCGCGATGCAATCTGTCTGCTTTCGTATTCATGTGGTCGCAATGACGTGCGACCGAGGTGTCGAAAAAATACAGGCGTATCACGACTGGTGACCAGCAGGCGGCTTCAGCCGGTATTTGTTCTCGTATGAACTCACCATCTATCGATCGTCCTAGTTTCCCAGTCGCCGGTGCATCTGTGCTTTTCTCAGACTCACACGCATGAACACTGGCTACACTGTAGCGATGCTCATCCTAACTTTGCCTGAAGGATGGATGTGTCGCCATCTCCCTAGATGAATGCTTCTATGAAAAGCATTCATTCCGTGTTCTCCTCGGTACCAGCGGTGCGATCAAGTTATTCGCATGGATGGACATGTCGGACACTCTGAGCTGCTATTTCCTGACCTGTGAACCGTCGGTATGTCTGCCAAACCCTGAGACCGTACAGATTTGCGCACACAACACAAATACCGAATGTGGCCGGATTAAATTTTAAGAGGTTATCAAAGCCACATTCTGTCTGCCGCATCCGTCATCGATGTCCCAGCTACCTAGATATATCATATGTGCTCGTTGCCGAGGATATGAATTCCTATTTTGAACCACCTATTCTGGTCAGCAAAGCGCATTGTGATGACATTTTGTTTCTTCTGCTCATCACGCGGCGGCCGTATCGACCAACCCTGTATCGATCATGTCCGCCGCATCGGCAACATGTCTGTTTAGCTTAACGGTCCTCGTCATCCTATCCCGCCTCCCTCGAATATCATGGTATTTGAACTGGAACAGACAACGTTCTCGTTGCCACCGGTGGCGTATCTCAGTCCAGTACTTACTGTCATTAGATAAATGTATAGATAAATAAATGTTTTATTCCCAGCAGCGCGGGGCACCCCTGCGAAGGCGCGCTCATGACAATACAAACAGGTATGGTCAGTAATTGTATAAACTATGGCACGTTAACCATTAACACACTGGATTTGTGTGTCTTTATATGTGTACGTATATGTATGCATGCAGAGAAGAAGCGGCAAGCACCGATGGGTTGTTCTCCATCGACATCAAGCGCATAGTGCTGTAGCGCATGCGGTCGCGAGTGCCTGAGTCAGGCAGGCTTAGCGAACCACTACCGAAGTGACGACGGGTCCTGCAGAGAACGTAGGCAGAACCAGCGCAGCGTTTGTAAGTATGATGCATTCGATTTACTAACCGCATGCTTGAATGCTAAGTCTCTTTATTTCAGGCGGTGGGTTTTCAATTTTATCCTAATGCTTTTCTTTCTCAAATAAATGTCCACCTGTACGCTCTTCTATAAACCTGCACAACTCGCTTAAGCCGATTGTAGTTAATTTCGATAACATTTTCGCGTTTGTGTCATTTCCGTGAAATATGCTTTCTAATCCCCTGAACTTATCTCGGATCCTTTGTTAACAACTTATTTCATATACTCATTAATTTAAGATTTTTGCCACGTTTCCTTGTGCATTAATCGATTTCTTTTCTTTGTTAGCTTTCTCTCACGTGATTGGCTGTTGTTTGATATCCCCGGTCTGGCTGCAATTGATGTGCATGTTGACAAGGTGCCTACTTGTCTATTACCCACTACCTCGTCCATACTGGCTCTAGGAGACAGTTGGTCGTTGCTGGAGGGGACGGGGTGCACGGTTCTTGTGGCCGTGTTAGGATCAGAGTGATTCCACGCACTCAGTGTGGAGCGGACTGCGGTCCAGCCACTGCCTTGTGTGCGCTTGATTCCCCAAATACAGCGTGCTTGTGTTTTCCTGTGAAGGAGTGTGGGCCGGCTCCGTTGATGAAACGTGGCTCCCCTCCACATGCCTCCCGGTCTTATTCCTTCGGGTTTACACTGGATATAGAGTGTGTGGTTGGAGCTGTGAGTGGTGCAGCGCAAGCCACCCATGGTTCCTCTGTAGGCGCAGGCGTCCTGTGGCCGGCCACAGTGACAGGCGAATCCGAAACCGGATGCCGCCAACCATGTATGTGTTAGTGGGCATTGTGAATGAACTTGCGAAGTGTGATTAAATTCGTGAGTTTGCTGTGCTCACCATCGTATGGAGGGATCAATGGAACTCTTCGAATTGGATGACGTTTGTGAAGTGAGGATCCTCCGGAAGGGGAAGAGACAGCGACTGTATTTAGTGACGAGTCACATCCGCCACGTCCCAGTTTTGTTAAACGGATCTTTGTGGCTTTTTATAGGGAGAACGCTTGCCAGGCGGAAACCCACCATGTCCTAGAACACTGACACCGAATTATTCGCTGGAACGGGATTGACCCGAATCACACAGCTGACACCTCGTGGAGGTTGCTGGGCTAGCCAGCTGAGTAGTACTCAAATTCCCATCCTGACTTATTATCCATTCGCATGGCTTTCTCAACTCAGGCCTTAGCGGGCCGTACAGCTTCTGGTGCAACTGTTATTCACCTTAACTCACAATCTTCAAAGTGGAGACAATGTGTTGCATTGGGGCACCCGTTGCTATTAGCTATTAATCACGATTTCCAGATTCTCTCCCAGTCCACCTGCCCACTCACTGTTTCCGTGCCTGAGTGTGGCGGTCTGAACTAGATAAAAGGCTTCATCCTAACATCAATCTCTTAGTGATCGTACGTACACGTTATGACATCAAACAGTGACTCTGATGATCGACCTGGGGCCTTAGTAGATATTGTGAGTCTTTGGCATTCTTGCGAATTTTACTGCTAGGATCGACCTATATCAGGCAGGATCTTTTCCTCTAACAAAGCTGACAGATTGTGTATGCAAACGCCTCACCTTCAATGTTGTGGCTCTCATGTAACTACTACGCCGCTAGTGTGTGTGTGCTGTGTGATTCAACTCAGCTCTGAGGATCGACGTTCTGGCTTTCGTTATAGTTTATATCAAATGTTACCTTGAAAATTTAGTTTTCCACTTGTTTAACCAACTACCGCTCACTATTTAGTATCGATTTCTTTCCGGTTGATCCGGCCATTCACTTTTAACGATGAATGATCGGTGTACGATACTTCAATTATTCCATGTTTGTCAAACTTCATTCCCATGTCTCAACGTTTGCCACTTTCACAAAACATCCTCCCCACTTACTCATTGGTCTGCCTGGTTTCCTTCACTGTATATGTTGTACTCACGTTTTGTAGGCTCCTTGTCTTGTTTGTAATCTCCATAGGGATTATCGCGACACAAATTTCTCGCATTCTTCGTTTAACCGGGTCCATTTGTGGAAGCTGCGAAATATCCATACATCACTACCCCGTAGCTTTGTAAGATACTGCCCATCGCAAGCTGGATTCATCGGATTTAACCTATTCCTCTTGTACTATCTACAGTGTATCCGCTATGTTTGGGTTGATCCCTGTAATCCAGACATGCTCGCACACTAAATTTCCGCACGTTGCGCGCCTTCACAAAAGCCCGAGTAATTCCAAATGTAATCCGGATTTCCAACATGGAATGTGTGTGTGTGTACGGCGAACGCGCACACGACTGCACCATCGTTTAGTGCGCACACACTCGTGCGTGGGGGCAATGGACTTTCCCTCTACTGCGTATGTAAATGACATACAGGGCAACCCTACAACTGAGTCTGGTGACCCCAAATTCCACGGCACTGCAGCTAGTCGAGGGATGAGGCACAGATAGACCACAGTTGAACGATCGATGCATTTAGTCTCTGTGCTACCATCAGGATGTTTCGGTGGAGCGAGATAAATGGCGGGATTCTTCATTTTTTAGTTGATCGTTGTCTCAGCAATGGAACACGAGCTTGCACTTCCGTCGGTGACGTTTCTCCAATCGGAATCTCGTTGTGTGCCTGATTGTCAGCGCGTCCTAATTATTCGGCTGTATGGCGAGTGTAGGTTCAGGGTTGCAGAAACTGCGCGAGAACACAGCACGCTCAACGGTGGAATCCGGACCGCACGTTACGTACGTAGATTGATGAAAACTTTTCACAAAAACGGCAATGTGTGCAGCGTCAGTAAATGCGGGTCATCTCATACCAGTAGGTATGAGTTTTCACCTTGCACTGTCGCACATGAAACATTTAAAAGGTACGATCTCAGCATACCTAGAATCGTTCAGCCTTGTGATACCACGTGATACGCTGTTTAGAGGATTTTAAAGGTACGTTTCAGCTTTCGGCACTTCAGTTTCAGATATTGAATCCAAACGATCTAGATAAACGGAATACATTTTGCCGTTTGTTTTTGGATCATATGAGCATTCGCCGATGTATCAATTTTCATTTGCATGGAACAGTGAAACAGCGTTTCTGGGTTAGATTTAGTCCATGCCGATACACAGCTCAGAGCTCATGGTCTGGGCTTGGATAGCTGGTCAGAAAATCTTTGGACTGCTTTTCATTTTCAGGAGGGTGAGCGTTGTTCAAGGAGATTCTCCAGACCTGCGTTATTCCACAGTTGGAGGCGGACAGAGTTTTCCGTATCATTTGGTGGCAACATAATGGTGTACCAGCTCATTATGCTTAATCGGTACGTGGATATCTCAACGAGAAACTCGGCCAACGTCGGATCGGTCACGGAGGACCACTTGAGTGGCATGCACGGTCACCCGATTTAAACCCGCTGGATTTTTTTCCATGGAGCTATTTGAAACAAAGGGTGTATAAAAACATGCCGAACTGCCTCGACCGACTGAAACAGGGTGCTGTGCATAAATATCATGCGATCGCCAGCGACATGTTGGAGAAGATGCTTGCCAACGGCATCAAGCGATGTTTGTACTGTAAGCAGAATGGTGATGAACACTTTCAACAGCTCCGGTGCGATGATTTCTATGTCTTTTTAACTCTGCTTCTGTTAATAAACGTATTCTCGATTACACATAAAGTACAGACTAAATCGATCCACAGGTGAATGGTGCCGATAGTGGGTCATGGAAAACGTAATTCTAAGAGCATTGGCTGCTTCTTCAGTGCTCTGCGCCACTCAGACTGTTGTGATAAGTGTGGGTATCCCGCGTTTCGAATGTTGCTAGTTATCACGGTCATGTTTACTATTTCGAGGAGGATGCAGTCGAAGTTTTGGCGCAGCCCTCCGTTTGATCACTGTGCAACTTACCGATCCGTGTCAATGGGCCTAATCTCTGAAACCTCGGCGATGCGTATTTTGCTCAATTAGATCAACGTTCCTGGGTTGCTACCCAGGTGCTAGTCGCGACGGTGACACGTAAGGGACGTGTGAAGTAAGGAAATACGGCTGGAGCAAACCTGTTTTGACCGAAGTTACAGTTAAATGATGAGGATTTACCATCAGTAAAACAAGTGAAAAGTCAGAAGATATATAAGTAAGAATAAAATTTATTCGATGCTCATTAGAGGACCGAGAGTGTGCGCGCTACTGACGAGCCTCAATAGGGCGAAACGCGTCTGGCGCTTTTCCGGACTAGGCTCTGCTATGTAGCTTGTGAACTATTGGGATGAAAGCCCTATCAAATTTACAACTAAAATCCTGCTACTTATGAGTACTATAAAATCAAATGCCTCTCCTAGTTTCTAAATGCTATAGGTATAGCGTCTAGTGAGAGGACGTCGTCACTTTGCAGGCTAACCACTGTCAGTGACAGTGGTAGATAGGTGGTGCTACATCCCAGTTATTTTGCAAATTATGTAGCCCGGCCGACGTCCCCCATGGCTCAGTGGCTTTAGCTGCTGGCTAGTTGGCATCTGCCTCTAGCGGTCATGGGTTCCATCCTCCTTAGAGGACCGAGGGTATGCGCGCCACTGACGAGCCCCAATAGGGCGAAACGCGTCTGGCGCTTTTCCGGACTTGGCTCTGCTATGTAGCTTGTGAACTATTGGGATGAATGCCTCATCAGAATTACAAGTAAAATCCTGCTACTCGTAACATAAAATAAAATCTATTGTCCCAAAATACTGAAAACGTGAATGAGGTGTAACTAAGGCTTAACACATGGGTAGCATGAGAATGAGGTGCGCGGTAGCGGGGAATCTTTAAGTACCATCGGTTTTTAAGGCAAGAGAATTTCCACATGGTATGCGTCACTCTTGCGATGAACTTAGCTCAGTTAACAGGAAAGCAAAATACTGGAAGCGAGAAATTGCTCATCTATCAAACCGTGCTATTATTCCTAATGTGATGCCCTATTTTCCTAAAGTGGTTATACTTGGAAGATACTTTTCAGCTTACCGCGGTGTCCGCCATAATTGTTTTTGTCATTAACTTAGATAAAAATAGGGGCACATCGAACGTTTATTGCTCAGTTGTACGTTGGTCTGGCCACTTCATTGGGAATATAGATCGGATGAAACTTCGGGAAATGACAACGGCAGTTGTGGATCACGTGTATATTCTTTCGATAATGCCATATGCAATCTTTATCACAGTAGACTCAATACGTAAACGATAACTTCAGTGCCACACCTAACCCTGGCTCATTACGGAACCGACAAGCTACCAGCTTTCCACATACGCTCGCAAAGCTTACGCACTTTTACTGCCGCTTGCGGGTGCGCCGCTCATCTGCTTCAGTTCGCTGAGGTTTCGGCAATTAGTCGGCTGTAACCCAATTTGTGTAAACAGATCGAGTTCGTTGCCAGCCTCACTCTCTAAGCGGAATGCATCAGATGAACTTTGACCGTTTTTAATTATCCGGTGACGTTACGCCTGTATGCTATTCGCCACGTGTCTGGATTGCAACACGCAACCTCACTTATGACCACGGTTTACTTCAGTTATCCCAGTCACTGGGACTGCTTCCGAAGTGGAGTTTCGGTGCTGTTCGCTCCAGGCATCACACGATCGATTTCACCCTTGTTTGGACTCTTCAAGTGGAGATACTTGGAGGTGAGGGCGGAACCCGGGGCGTATTGTTGGCGGACGCTTTGCCTACTGGGTCATTAAACTTCCCAGGCAACACTTGACACAGCAGTAAAAGGTTTCCTGCCTTACCTTTTTCCATTTGTTTTCTATTTGGAGTGTTTTCAGATGTCATTGATTTCGTTCTGTTCTCTTATCCTAACAGATTAGAGCAAGAACAGGCGGAACTGCAGCAGGAGCAGGTACGAATACGTGCTCGTCTCGCCGCTTCCCGCTACGCTCGTCCAGCAGCGAACAGTCCTATCCGCAGTCCCCCAACAGCTCCTCAGCTCCCCGTCATCATCAAGCCAACCAATCATGTGACAAAGAATGGCCTCCGGTCCTCTAAGCTTGCGGCCTCGTCATCGTCTTCAGGTGAAGATGGTGTGTCCCTTTTGACACCAGTGCCACAGTACGGACCGCGTGTTCGCCACAACCCCCCACCACCGCCACCACGGAATGTGCCATCCCGGGGTGGTGGAAGATTCGCCTATTAATCTCGACCATCAAAAGACTGTGTTCCCCCCCCCCTCATAATGCGACAAATCCCACCGCAATGCACCACCCCATGTTGGTTATGACTTGCTACTGCTCATTTTGCCCAGAATTACTATCCCCTCCTTGATAATTCCACTGCTTCCTTGTTTCTTTTTTCTATTCTGTTTCGTAGACACTGTGCCAGATTTATTTGTAAATTATTTCTTCTCATCATTCTCTATTTTTCTGCGTTTCGATTCACCCCGTGTTCCGCTCTGCATTGCGCCTAATCGGCTTGGATTTCTACTGCGGCTAGCGTGCGGTCGATTTGCTACGTCACCTGCTCCATTGGGTTCCCCACCTACACGGATGTTGTCGCCTACACGAATTCTATCCCTTTGTGCATTTGTCCGCCATGGCTGCATGTGATACGAATGAAGACAGCCTGATTGGTTATCCAATGTCGTCGCTGGTGAACCCAAAGCCTTCTAATCAGAAACATGATTTAGTGAATAGTCTTGTTTTCAATGGTTCATCATCAAGCCAACACACACCACAACTGAGCGGGTCATGATAGATGCATCGGATCGAAATGTATACTCGATGGGGCTAAGTCTGGCTAGTCAGGGGAGGTGATGTAGTCGCCATCATCAATTGAGGTGGCTTGTAGCCAAACCATAATAGTAGTAATATAAACAATACTAATAATGTATCTGATGTTCTCTCTACTGGATGCAATGGGGTGTGTATCCGCCCACCTCATGTACTCAGCAGTTGACTGGGCAAAGCGCAGACTCCTTGGGTAGCTTCAGATACGAGTACACACTGGGACCGATTGGTCTGTTGCTTCTTCCCCGACTTCGCCTAATTCGGGTGCGTCTTCTATCAGTACTTGATCTCGTTGGGTGCATCACAAGATTGGATCGGCACGCGCAGACCCGGTCAGATTCGCGTTGCGCACTTGAATGCGTCTTGTTTTTGTCACTTGTTTAAATGACACCCAACGTACTTGGTAAACTTTTAACCAAAGGACATGTGCAAAAAAGTCAGTGTTCCGGATAATTCTTCTCATATGTGGATCATAGTCGAGTCAAGTCGAAATAAGCTTTAGGTACCCGACTGAGCACATTTTTACACTAGAACTGCGGATGTAAAAATGATTTCGGTACAAAAGCCCACTTAAAAGAACAGGCAAATAGTGAGAGAGAAAATAGGATATACATACATTCACTCAAGCATACGTTCAAGTGCGGCATCAATGCTCTTCGTAGGGTTCACTAGCAGATGTTATAAATAAGGTAAATCCGAAGTATGATAAGAAGCGGTGCTAGGATACAGGACCTTACATCTTGAGCGTGTAGATGAGGAGGAACGAGTTTTCGATAACTCATCTTGGAGTGGGTGATCTGAATCATTTAAAATCTGTGACATGCATCAAAATGCTTAGTCACAATGTAGTCTACGCGAGAATTTCGGGGTATTCCACCGCATTTAGAGATAAGCTTAGTCGAACGGACAATAATTGTAAAGTATTTTTTGAAGAAGACCAGGGAAAATAACAGGCGAGCAGCAAAACTAATGGGGAGAATACAGGTAGCTACAAATTTATAGATCAAATAGCGTGGTACTGAAAGCATCTTGAGTCATTGGGCAGAAAATGATAGTTTCTTGACCTTGCGAAAAGCTTCGTCGATGTGTGTAGACCACCTTAAGTTTTGGGATAAAAATACACCAAGATACCTAACAGTGAGTGAACTAGGTGTAATGCATTCGTCAACAGCAATGGGCTCGTAGCACTGGGCAAAGTTTGACGTTTGTCAGCGTGGAGGAAAGATTAGATCTGGGCACTTTGAAGCCTTGAGGACAAGGGTTCGGGAGGATGATCACCGTTCAAGCTCGTCCAACCATTTTTGAACAATGAAAAAATGGTATATTACACGTAAAAAAGCGATTGTTTTACAAGTCCCGTAATATGGTTGAAGTGAAAGCAAACATAAGTGTAAATCGTCAATTTAAGCGTCTAGCGATTCAGGTGCCCTTTATTCATATAAACATTTTAAAATGTGTACTGAATTGTTACTGTAGAGTAATATGAGGAAGGTTTGTCTTAATTACAAAAGCAACGGCAACGCTTACTCGTGCGCCGCTTTCTTGGACTGAGGTAATTGATGAATGCAGCTGTAATATATCCGAAACTATATTCCACAACAGCAGTGTGTAAGTAGTGAAACACAAAAGCTGAGAATGAGCACCGTTTGTTCGTGTTTGGTTGACGTAGACATCTCTGATTATATAGCGTAATGTAAGTGGATAAGCGAATCATCCAGACATCTTTTGAATACCGTTAGCGTGGGTGTAGAAACAACGTATGTGGGAAGAGCGTTCCAGTGTTGACACACACGAAGGGAAAAGAAATTCCGGTGGCATTCCAACCGGCTGTATTGTGTGTCCAGCTTTAGATGGTGTCGTCTGAGTGTGGTATTGCTATTCAGCTTTAGTAGGTGACGACAGGAATGGTTTGGATTCCTCAGGATCATGTAAGTCATAAGCAAGTCGCCACGCAGGGGTCGATATTGTCAACTGTAGACCCTCAGCCTCAACTGGTAAGGGAGATGAAACAGGCATATTGCGTTCTTGGTCGCCCTTCGTTGTGGCAGTTCCAGAGCGGTAGTGTCTTGCTTTTGCCATGGCTGCCAGGCGTGAATGGCGTGCTCAGAATGAGGCCGAATGTAGGCGTTGAGCATCTGCGAAAAGATAGGAGGATCGAAGCGCCCGAATGACCTCCGCAAAAGGCCAGTGTTGGTTAGCTTTTTTGGAGGCTTTCTCGGCCTGACGAGAACAGCCCAGATCCTCCTGCACTATCACGCCTAGATCGCATTCCGTCGATGTGCGCTGTAAAATTTGATCCCCCAGTCTGTATTCGCAAGTAGTTTTATGGCGTATGCTCAACACCTTGCACTTTGTAGCGTCGCAACGAGACTGGACCTTAACAGGGTGCGACGGTTTGCGTACCTCATTGACCCATAGAGCTATATTGGGTGATGCCTCCGAGCATCTTGAGAGCTACTCCTACCAGGTTCGTCAATGGTGAGAGGTCAGACAAACTCAGTCTCCTGGTCCTCCAGGTTGGGGGTTTGAAATGGGATGGCGTCCATTTCTGTAAAACTAAATCACTGCCACCCCGCTGCCTTGCAGACAGGCTTTTGAGCCAAAGGCTTTGGATGAGGACCCTAATCGTTCTCCTGTCTAGGTCTGGGCGCCCTGGCAGTATCCCAGCCCACATACAACCATGACATTTCCTTCAAACATAAACTTCATCCTGCATCGGCCGTCGCGCAGATTATCAAAAGTCGCCTTATCTGCTGCATACAGCAGGGCGGATAAGCGAAAACATGCTACTGCTGGTGCCTCCCTTCTTTCTTTTCCACCTTTTTCTCTTACTCCCATCCCGGCCCCTATTACTAACCTTCCTTCTATAATTCCCAGCTTAATTGACAGCAACCGAAGTGCTACTGGAGTAGTACCATCTGCAGCCACCATCCCACAGCACCTATCGGACGCCCATCGGCAAAAGTCCCTTGTAAGGCCACGCTGTCCCGTTTCCATGGCGACATTCAACGTCCGCACTCTAAGACAAACAGGTCAGCAGGCTGCACTCGCATGCACCTTGGATACACTGGGTGTTGATGTGTGTTGTGTATCCGAAACCAGGATTAATGACCCTAACGGGGTTATTGAATTGACTGCACCCGGCTTATCCTCTCGTTATTGGTTGCACGCATCCGGAGACGCCGATGCGGCACTCACAGGTCAAGCTGGTGTAGGTATCATTCTCAGCTGCAAGGCTGAGTCATCGTTGGTTGATTGGATTCCGGTGAACAGCCGTTTATGTGCAGCCCGTTTGACGACATCAGCTAAGGTGAATTCGCGAAGTAGTACAAAACGCTGTTTGTTTGTGATTTCTGCTTATGCTCCCACCGACTGCAGTTCTAATGCAGTCAAGGACACTTTCTATCACGAACTGAACACGCTGCTACGCAGTACTACTAGTTCAGATATTATAGTACTTGCAGGGGATATAAACGCACAAGTAGGGCGTCTGAGCTCTTCAGAAGCTCAGCTGGGTGGTAAATATGGATTTACCGCCGAACGGACTGACAACGGCGAGCGTCTGCTTCAACTGTGTGCGGAGCACCAGTTGTTTCTTAGTAGCACTGCTTTTAGACACAGTGGGCGCCGAAGTGCCACTTGGCGTCCACCTGTAGCTGGCCAGCGATGAACCCAAATTGACCACATAGCCATAAGTTACAGGTGGCGCGGTTACATTCTGGATTGCCGCTCGTACTGGAGCACTTGTGTCGACTCTGATCATGCCTTGGTGCGCTGTCGTTTCTCCATGAACTTTACCGGAAGGCGCACAAAGCGTCTCCCCCGATTGCCAACGGAGAAATTGTCCCAACCCTCTGTCAGGCAAGCCTATCAAGAAGCACTGCATAGCGAACTCTCGCTGTCTTGTCCCAATGACACTGAACTTCAGTGGAATAGAATCTCGGCCGCTATGCACGACGCAGGAGCATCTGTTTGTGGCACTATCAGTCGTCATCGCACCAGTCACTGGATATCCGAGAGGTCCGTGAACCTGTTGGAAGCTAGAAGACACCTCCCGGCTGGTTCTGAACACAATGTGACCAGACGGGCTATTAGGCGTGAACTAAAGTGGAGCCTACGTGCTGACAAGGAAGCCTGGTGGACCAGTCGGGCTCAAGAAATGGAGGAGGCAGGAGCAGTAGGCAATTACCGGAAGCTCTTCCAGCTAATCCGCACCACTGGTCCCAGAAAACCAGGCGTCAGTGAGACAATCAGGGACAGCGCGGGTGCGCTGATACACAATAAGGAGCGCCGTATGGCTTGTTGGGCGGAACACTTTGAAGATCAGTTCAGCTGGCCCCCTGCTCCCGGACCTCTTCCTACTCAGGTGATGCAGGACGTGCCATGGACGGTTAGTTTAGAGCCTCCGTCG